GGAGGCAGTATGACCTCTGAAACGTTGGTTAACATCGACCAGACTACACAGCGCAACAACCCAGAAGACAGAAATCTTCAGCTACATACAGGACACTAACGCTTCTTTCCAAATCCTTTCCAATTCATCATTCATAAACATCCTGTCATTCCAACTGTAAAATCCACTTATTACATCTCATATGTGAGCATGTTAAAATACAGGAAAAGAATTTTCAGCAGTCTTTTCCAAATATACCTAATGAAAACTATGATTTGTTGAAAAATCCTCTAACTTAAACATCAAACCAATCACAATTTAGCTTCAAAACAGAAATTAGTGTGCACATGTTATGAATGCACCCTGAAATTAAAACATATGTATAAGATTCTGGTTGTAAATTAAAAATAAATACTGATAAATGAAAAAGAAAATATTTGTCAAATCTCATGTAATTTTTCATATCTTACCTATATCATTTAAAAATTCCCTGCACTCATAAATTATAAAGATGTGTAAAGATCAAAGGATTACAACCACATAAAGAACAAATGCGTTTGTCTGCTGTTTCACCCAATACTGAAACGTTCAATAAATCTCATCACATCCACGTGTGACATTGGGCAAACGAGAAAAATAAATACATATAAAAAAATTGTCTTGTAAGATCATTTCAGAATTAAAACGTTACAACTGTAATAATAACAGCATAGAGATGTAAATTAATTAGCTTTCGGGCAGAAGCAATATTGGTGGCCTAATGAAATTACCAAAATCTGGCATATAGTATACATTGGTCCTTACATATTTTTAATTTATTCTATAATTCAATTAAGAGCTACCATATGCAATACTGAGACAAATGTAACAGTACACAATGTGACAAAGCTGCCACCAAATGTGGTATATAGTGCAATCTGTGAAAACCACAGCATTACATTTTTTAGAATATGTGTAGCATCTCAAACAATCATATAACATATGACACACTATAAACTTTCATATCTGTTAACCATCACATAATGTGATTATTTATTGAACATACTATACCAAAAGTTTGAGATTCATAACCTATGGGTGCCGACACACGTATTTCCTTAAATATTTTGATGAACAGATTTTGAAAGCTGTCAATTATGTTACTGAATTAAACAACAGCTGTTTTAAGCAACTAAAGCAATCTTCGTAAAATTTTGCGTTATATTATATGTATAAGTGGGCCAATCACTGTAAGCCTACATAAAAACTGTAATTTGTAAAATAGTGAAATGTCAAAGTGCAACGCATGTATCACTGCCACCTTCACCGATAATAAGCAGCCTATACTTCATAACCAAACGGTGTGTAGAATAACAAAACAATTTAAAATGACACGGAATTCAAGTAACAATCCTCTTTAAAATATAGGGTTCACTCACCACTTTTATTTGTTTTTCCAGCTGCACCAATGGTTCGAAATAAGCAAAGCAAACCACATCACACAAACACACTTTTCTGTACCGCCATAGTTGTTTACTAATTCACGGCATCCTATGTCACTCTCAGATCCACAGAGAATATAAATCCACAGTACCTTGAACATAAAGTTCACAAGTCACTGGGTTTGAAATCTGGAACCCAGACATTTCTAAGTTTTGGTGGTTTCCCTCAGACCCTCAAGCAAAGTACCATAATAGTAAATGAAATCAGACCTTTTTATTCCACATCCTTTGCAATATATGGCACTATATATATTAAAAAACCATAAATAAATATATATACACTAGCTGATGTGTAACATAACAACCAATGCTAACACCTATGTTATACTTGCTCCCCAGCCCCCAAAATTAAAGACACCACTGTTAAATAAAAATTATTTCATAAGCAGACAAATAATACAGGTATCCAGAACAGCAAATTTTAGGAGTTTGTTAAAAATGGTAATATGAATAGTTCAGTTGTAAAATTTTATGAACATATAGTCATGGGCACACATTACACTATTCAATGGGAAATTTTAAGAGGAATGAAAAGAAGTAATGAATATGCTGATTAAATTATAAATGTATTATATAATTCTAATTTCACATACAAACAAAATTTAATAACAGCTATGCAAGGTACTGTTCATCCATTGTGGATGATCAATATTGCAATGGGAACAGTGATCACATGGTGCTGTAAATAGTTTTATGTTCAGCTTTAACATTACCAACAGTTTATCTTTTGTGTACAAATTTCACTGGTACACCAATTTCATCACATTACCATTTTTATGTAGTATCCTCTCTTCCCTCCAATTTCCCACAGTAGAGCACAATTCATGTCCTTTAGTTCAAATGGGAAGTAAACGCAACGATAGCCATGGGCAAGGCAGCTTTCGTCAAGAAGAGGATACTTCTCACTAGCAAGTTGGGCTTGGAGATGAAGAAGAAACTAGTGAAGTGTTACGTATGGAGTGTGGCGCTGTATGGAGCAGAGACTTGTACACTCAGGAAGAAGGAACAGAAATACCTGGAGAGTTTTGAAATGTGGTGTTGGAGAAGAATAGAGAAGATCAGGTGGACGGATCGAGTGACCAACGAAGAAGTATTGAGGAGAGTCAACGAGCAAAGAAACATTCTGAAGGCGATTACACGAAGGAAAGCTAACTGACTGGGACATATTATGAGAAGGAATGGAATACTGAGTGATATCATCGAAGGCCAGGTTGAAGGAAAGCGAGGACGGGGAAGAAGACTGATACAACAGCTCTGTGAACACATATTCATATAACATTTTTTCCTCAAGACTCTCTAATTTACATCCTCCTTAAGAATGAATCTCATTTCATTGGAGAAACAGGATAATGTATTCACTAATTCAACTGGCTCAGAAGGTCCTAAGAAAGACAGTGAAAATTGTAATGACTCTACAAATTCCACAAAAGAGGGAAATTCCTTTCCTAGATGTGTACCAATCAGCCTTTTGAGGACAACCATGCAACATCGTGTTATACAGTATTTCTTTCCTAATTACACCATATTTTATGATCTACTGATCCATGATGTTCCAGTTTATTTTTCTACATATCAATAATGGTGCTACAAAATGAACAATACACTTTGTGTCCACATTAGGATACCACAAATTGGTCAACAACCAATTGAAACATGTCATACAACATCCAGATCCTTAAGGCACCACTCAATTTGTCTATTACACCTCCCACATTTAAATGGCAAGAAACCACACCCTCACCACAGAACCTCCATAAATTAAAGAAATGAAAATTAATAAAATTAAATTCCCACAAACTGTTCCAACCAGACATGTTAAATCTCTGTTAATCTGCACTGCATTGATCTAAATACCACATAATCCATTCAGCAAATCCTAATTTCATACCATGTAGTCCCACACAAGTTGTTTGTTAACCGGTACACTGACCATCTCCAATAATCATAACTTTAAAATACTTTTATTGAAGGTTTTCAATTCAAGGACAGTTTGCTGTAAAAAAATCAACAGCTTAAATAGAAAATGTCACATTCTTGTGTTTCTGTAGAACTTTTGAAACACTAAATTAATCAGGGCCAGAAAAACTTCAACTGTAAATAACCATTTTCAGCCTTACCCTCCTTCAAAGATCAGCTGAAGAAAGTGCTTCTCAGGTAAAATCTGCATTACCTCGTTCTAAAATAAACTTTGGCAACACAAATTTTGCACTTTAGCACAAAAAAAATCTTCTGAACCATTCCCAGCAAGCATACATGAACTCAAAACAACAAATAAATCCTGAGTCATGGCAGTTTGAGGCATCCATCTTATTGCTGGCAAGTGTTTTACTAAACTTTGCATTTCATGACTCCCACTTCCTGACTGAACTCATCATTTTACTCCAGATTTTACCAATATGGACTTCACATTTTATAGTTAACGTTAGTCTGTTCTGATAAGCAGTCTGCACTTGTACCTTACAAATTTTGAAACAAAATCAACAATGAACAAGAGTCACAGAAGTTTGGTCTGCCAAAGTCAAGCCATGCTAGAAATACTAGCCTTACAACAAACCCTATGATGAATCCAGTCTTCCACCTCCGATGATCCACAAACTTGCATCATAAATCTGCCCACCACACAAATTACTGGGAAAACAATAAATACTACTTTGAATGCAATAAAATTTCAATACAATGTTCTTTATTTCAATTAGCATTCATAAGTGCAAAAAAGGTATGAAATCAAACACTTTCAAATACAATCTATATTTAAAGCTAATTAATGAACCTTTGAGGTAAAACAAAATCTTATACATTTCTAAAAGCTGCATGTTCCTAACAGCAACAGGTCTCAACCATTCACACCTCAGAGAATCCACAAATTTGCATGGCAAATCTTCATTGCTGCCCACCACAAATTATAGGGAAAACAAGGAATTAATACTTTGAATGAGATAAAATTTCAATACAATGTTCTTTATTTTAATTAGCAATCATAAGTGCAAAAAAGGTATGAAATCAAACACTTTCAATACAATCTATATTTAAAGCTAATAAATGAACCTTTGAGGCAAAACAATGCAACAGCAACATCTTTGATATTTCTAAGTCTAATGGTCTGAAGAGTAACAGGTATCAACCATTCAGAGCTGCCCTCCCCGGAGACGAAGCACAAGGTGGAGTGTAGACTCTTTCTGGATATTATAATCTGAGAGGGTTCGGCCATCCTCCAGCTGCTTGCCAGCAAAGATCAGTCGCTGCTGGTCTGGTGGAATGCCTTCTTTGTCCTGGATCTTGGCTTTCACGTTCTCAATTGTATCAGAAGCCTCTACTTCCAGAGTAATGGTTTTTCCTGTCAAGGTTTTGACAAATATCTGCATGCCACCTCGAAGCCTGAGGACGAGGTGAAGTGTAGATTCCTTCTGGATATTATAATCTGAGAGGGTTCGGCCATCCTCCAGCTGTTTGCCAGCAAAGATCAGTCGCTGCTGGTCTGGTGGAATTCCTTCTTTGTCCTGGATCTTGGCTTTCACGTTCTCAAT